CTCAAGGCACCCCTGTACCAAATGACGAATTCTACATTCCGTAGAAAGACATGGTACAGGCTAGGTAAATAGTATGTTGCTTCGTTCACAAAAAGACTCTCTGACCACTATAACTACGATAATCATCTTCAAAAAGCCTACACTACACTATACATCCACACAACACCCACCAAAACAATATCACACTGTCGAAGGCATGAGACCTCCGAACTCTAGTGTTGATGTTGGAATTAATTGGAGGCGCGCGGGAGGCAGACAAATAGTTATATTAGTAAAAATAATGAGTTGGATGCTACTGCTAGTTTGTAAACTATTTTGTATATAGGTTTTAAAGAAATAACATGGAACGGTCTCACCGGTAAATTTTGGATGCCTGTACAGACATGTTCCTATAGATGGGGAGGAGGGGTTACCATGGTTACGAGTTAAACTACTTAAAAAGGGAAAATCACGCCACACAGGGTTGTCCTAGGGCTTCATTACTCGTTAACTGTATTGTACTGAAGAAAGTAGAAGAGAAAAGATGCATAAAGGGGTGGAAGGGAACAAAAAAGGGAAACGGTAGAGGAGCTCAAGAAAAAGGCGGCCGCCCGTCGGCCTGACCTCTGACCTAGTCGATTATTAAATGTAAAGAATAATGGTTTAGTTTATAAGCAAAGTCATGAAACACTGTGTGTACAATTCTGTATTTTATCCATTACGCGGGGCCATTCACGATTTTCAGCATTGATTTACATCAGCCTCTGTACACTTGAAGAACCCACACAGGCGAAACCCGTCGTGTGATAGGCTGAATAAAAGTTCTAAAGGGAACTATGCAGCCCCAGATGTCTTACTGAGGGACGACTGCGTGTGCAAGATGTCGGTAGAATCCCCTCTACTATATATGTTCCAAACAACAAGATGACGTCAAAGCCATGTATGATTATTGAGATGTAATATGTCGTTTCATCCTTCCAAATGCAAGTTGTTACGCCTGACCCGTTCCAACCGACCAATCCCATACACATACCACATTTTTAAAACGTATCTTATGTTGACAGCACACGATGGTCCGGTTGCAAGCCTTTTGTCCGCGTTGCTATGGCTGAGTGCGCCGCCCACTCACCGCGGGGTGCCTACCTCGTGCCTGTACCCAGGCACTATGCACAAGTAAACACTGCAAATACACGGCGGTCTGTCACTACGGTATTCTTTCCCATTGCTAGGGGGGTTCGAAAACGTATCAGGTTACAAGACGCAAGTTTGGCCTGTTTTGAACTACCCGTAAACCACTTGAAAATAAACAAATAGTATTGAAGGGTAAATTTTGTCAAAATAAAATGAAATTATCGTGTTTACATAGGTTTAATGTTAGTTGTTTAAGTTAAATTACTAATTTTGAAAAATCTCGCTCCGAAAGACGATTTTTTGCGGGATTTGGAGCGCCAGTCCGAGACAGTCCGAGTCATGTTTTTAGGCAAACATCGTTTAAGATTGGCTACGTATGTTACCCCAAATCCCCGATTTTTACATTTTTAGACGACTAGGAATAAGATCAAAAATCGTGTCTTAGGAATTTTTGAATTTCTGATTTTAAGTGTAGTTTTTGTCGACATAAATGTGAAAAAACGGCATTTTTTGACATTTTTCGCACTCAATTGCTCATAATTCAAAATCAAGGTCCTTTTTCGAAAATCCCTAAGACACGATTTTGGACAAACCCGTTACGGTCATTTTGAGCAGTCAATGAGATATGTTGGACTCTCCATGCTTCCAATCTTAAACGAGTTTTGGACGCATGTTATACGGAATGAATATGACTAGTGTTTATTTAGGCTGATGAGTACAAGCATTGCGATCTTCAAGGTCACCCACGATAACGGCAGTAGCTTCGTTTCATGTTCCAGCCCACTACAAAATGAAGGCAGACATGCAGTTGTCCAGGAAATGGTTTATATTTGTTAAAAGGTGGATGTTTTTCTGTTAGGAGGTACACATGTAAAAAGGGGCCGTAATACCTATGTTTACTGTAAATGACCGCGGGTGACCCCATTTCGAACACCGTTCCATTCGAATTACGTCAGATCGAACACGGTTCGGGTTCTATTGCAGGTGGGGAGATCGGGGCCCAATTTTGACCACCGTGATATCTCTCAAAATAACGCATGATCGGAATATCATGTCGAGATACAACAGTAAGAATTGAAAAGAAGACAGGTTGACTTTGTATATAATATGAAGTAAAAACGTGACAGCAAATTACAGCGTTCAAAAAGTCCTTCTTACGCTAGTGTTCAGTTCCGGCAACTTTTAGCAATTGAACTTTGAACCTTGTGACCTTTCTAGTAAGGATTTTTTTTCCAATTTATGCGCTAAACATTAGTTGAAGTCCTAATCTATAATCTCACCAATATTTTTTTTATTCTATGGTAGTAAACTCGATGTCTGCGAAATCTAAGATCATTTTCGTAAATTTCGGGGTAGATTTCGGCCTAGATTGGGGTATGATTCCCGTGAGCCTCCATAGAACAACAAGAACGCGTCATCAAGATGGCGGCGGGACTGTGCCCTTTCGATTTTTGGTGTTTTCGTCAAAAAATCCTTATTAGATCAAAAGTTATAAGCCAAAATATCATATGTACCCTTTACTCTGAGGTTTCACGTGGAAGTAAGACTTTGTTTTCAGCTATAATCAGCTACGCCGGCGTCCCTCAAAGAGACTGATTATCGGGCTTCATTGTTCTCGAGTGCAGTTACATGCAAATTCTGGCCACACCGCTTTTGTTTTCCAAGCTTGAGATTGAGAGGCGGGGCAATTTTAAAAGTGAGAATTGACAAAAAATCTGTTCCGACGAGAAGGTGGTGGGTTTTAGGCGGTCTAAAAGGCTTGTCTTCGTATACATAAAGAAGGGATTGAAACGATGTTGCTAGTATCGCGGTTAGAAATTACAAGTATAACGGTTGGGGAAAAATTATGGGCAAGCTCACGGCTCTAGATTTTAGCGATGTGAACACGGCTGATGCATTAAAAATCATGAAAACAACAAGAAAATGTCCACTGTTTACGTGCAACGCCAAATGTAAATAAAACTACAACTAGTAGCCCCCCCCCCCCCGGCTAGACTCCCCGGTAGCGGTAATTTACACCAGTGGGCGAGGGGCCCGGAAAACGAGTTTGGCTTCCAGGGTAGCGGCAGCAAGCCGCTGCATATGCACGCCAAGTTTTTTTCAATTTTTGGGCGCCCGTGGACCAGCTTACAGCCAAGCCCGGCGTCATTGCCCTTGGATAGGGGTAAGTGATATCTAGGACGCAATCGAGACCTGCAGATACCATAGCTTACCATTGTAACGTTTGATCGTATTTTTAGCGCAAATGTTGACTCGAATGTTTTCAAAAATTTGTCCTTTCTTTGACTATGCCTGCAAATTATTTGTTCCCGAATTTCCGTCCCGTCTTACAGCCGTATAACACTACTAACGCTTTACATTTTGAAGTACACATGCCATTAAACTTTCGACTGAACTTTTACCCCGGAATTTAGCAGATTTATGTCACATTTCTCGTAGCCGTAACTCGTTTGTGAAGCTGTAACTTCGGGCGGTCATTTTATTTCTTTTCTGGACGCTTGGAATTTTGATGACGCTGCCTTTAGTAGGTTCCTTTTTTGTCAATATTGTCTCCTAGTTGCACAATATGAACGCCTTACTGTGTCTGTAGATTTATCGAGATCTTGTAAGCCGAAAATTATAAGCTAATATTCATAAAAGTCCTAATGTAAACAAGCCGTAGAATTTCAAAGCGTAGCTGTGACGCCATTGTTTCTGCATTATTTTTCCTGTGGTACGTTTATGCAGAGCATTTGTAAAAAAAATAACTACTTTTTGTATGATAAATTTCTATTTCCCTACGAACACTAATGTATTGATTGTTACTGTATGGATTACTTGTACGTTGTGTTCATTTGTAGTCAAGAACTTGTAAGGCGTGATTTGCGATCGTAACGTAACGTTTTGTTTAGTCCCGCAAGATTCGGGGAAAGGGGGAGGAAACGATCAAATACTTGCGGTGATGAAGTCTTAGCGATGGAATAGTGATTGGCAAAGTCCTAAAATTAACTGACACTTAACAAATCAGGAATTACAGTAACCGTAGAGGTAAAATTTGAGACACAGATGAAGACCGGGTCATTGTTAAAACGTGCGAAGTGAAGAACAATGGAGGCGGAGACGAGGCACGCATTTCAAAAGACAAGCTCGCGGGAAAATCTTGCTGGGCGAGGTGCGATCAAAACATTTCTTGTCCACGCCTTGAAACGTGTTAACCAATCAGCTACTGTTGTCAAGGGCGAAATGAATGATTGACATTGAATATTTATGAGCAGCGTGTTAGGAAAAATGGGACCGGATTTGACCATCGTAGCATGGACGACCTATGGGTCATTTTGCAACCATATGTTCTGTGGAATAGCCATGTTGTGAAAATAGTAGCCAAGGCAAATTCCATGACTGGTATCATCAGCGGGCTATTAGTGTAAACGCTAACATTGATGTTCGCAATGCTCTGTACACGATGTTTGTTAGGAGCAATCTGGAACATTGCTCATTCGTGTGGTCTTCAGAGTCTCGGAAACGTATATTTCTAGTCGAAAGGGTGCAACGCCAAATGATTTTAGAACCTCGGGTGTTAATAACCCCTCACCGAGGGGCACAACCCGCCGTACGTGTTTTTTGTCCGTACGTTGTTTTCGGGTGGCCACGTCCGCCACGTTCTGAAAACGTGGGGAAAAAGACTGACAAGAGCAGAGGGAGGCAGTAGGTCAACGCACGTCACTCACGCGGCTGTGCAAGGTGTAAGTACGTGGTCTTTACGCCACGCCTGGCCGTGAGTGGTTGCGTGCATCGTTCGTTGCGCAAGTGGCAAGTGAACTGAACGTGCTTACAGCGTATTGTTCTATGTAGGCAGGCTGCAATTATACGTACTGCTTATGCACGACGCGTAAAAGCACTTCAATGTTTTAGGGTTTCCACTAAACCCTTACATCAATAACTACTTACCTGGACATCAAATCCACAAACCATCCTGCGCCGACAATATAAAAAATATCATAGTGCAGTACCAGGTTCAATCACCAGGGGCCTAAAGTCAAACTAACACAAACTTCTGTACCGTTCCTATTGACCTGCCAAACATTGTTGCATCCCGTATGACAGATCTTGATATATATATGTCACAGGGGAGATTGGAATCCGGGGGGATCCGGAATCCTCCTAGGGGATATTGGAATTCCTATCTCCCCTTCAGATTCCCATCATGCATCGGTCCAATATGGCTGCCTTCTAATTCGCTCGTGATTTCGTATCTCGAAAAATAATTTGTTTGCAAGTTTTTGGCTAAGCTTCATACACGTCCACCACTTGTATCCGTCCCTGGTGACACAAGGAACATTACGACTTTTTTTCGGACGTTTGGTGAAATCGAGAACCTGCAGAGCCGAAGTCTTGCAGACACAGTCGGTGACGTTCCAAAATGGCGCCGCCCAGCCCCCCTCCCCAAGAGCAGAGACAGCAGACATCGGGGAGAGTCGAACCTGTATTTGTGCAGACCTCTGACATCGCCCTCAACAACGAAGACGATCCTCTAAGCTGTCTTAAAATCTGCCTAGCTGCTGAGGATGTGTCCGGTCCCATATCGATAATTGGCGCACAACCGCAAGGAAGAGGAAACGCTTTTTGGCGGCTGTATCCACAATCCATCGACGCACGCCTGAAGCTTATTCAAGCCGGAGCGATCACGCTACGAGGGCAGGAAGCAAGCCTGTTACAAAAAAACCCACATGTTGTCCGACAAGCCGCAACCTCAACAAGAGTCGTAGTAAGTAACATTCCTTTGTCTTATGACAACGAAGAAATAGCCAAAACACTACGCTCACGTGGCTACAAGCTCACTAGTCGTGTCATCGACGAAAGGGCAAGAAATAAAGACGGCAAGTTAATCCGCTTCCTACCAGGAAGAAGATTTCTATATATTGAGAAGCCTGCTACTCCCCTTCGGAAAAGGATGTCAGTAGGGCTCTTCCTGTCAGACAATGATTTACATGCCGGATCGGTCGAGTCCCGGTGAAACAACGACCGCGCCTCACGTCAGCGTGTGCCAGGACAGAGGTGAGAAGTATGCTACTGGCACACACAATAAGATCAACTTACATAGGGGAACAACAGCAATTGGAACTTGGAATGTCCGAACATTGTATGCGACTGGCAAGATCAATGAGCTAACCCACGAGCTAGAACGGTACAACTGGGATGTTCTGGGATTGGCAGAGGTGAGATGGACAGGCTCTGGGGAAACACAGACAGATGAAGGACACAAGGTGTGGTTCAGCGGAGACGATAGCAAGCACATCCATGGAGTTGCCTTCATTGTGCACGCAACATGTTCCAACTCTGTTATCAGCTGCACGCCAGTTAACAGCAGAATCATCTCAATCCGGATGGCAGCCAAGCCACTCAATATCACCATCATTCAAGTGTACGCACCAACATCTGAGCACGATGATGAGACTATTGAAACCTTCTACGAAGAACTAAGGAACACCATCAATAACTCCAACAAGAAGGACTTCCTTATCGTGCAGGGAGACTGGAACGCCAAAGTGGGTCCTGACGCTTACGAGCAATGGGCAGGAACTGTGGGTCGCTGTGGGATTGGCGAGACGAATGACAGAGGCTATAGACTCTTGGAATTCGCACACAGCCAGAAACTCACACTGGCCAACACACACCATCGCCATAAGCCATCAAGGTGCACAACTTGGCATTCTCCCAACGGGAGGGTCCACAACCAGATTGACTTCATCCTCACTCCACGCCGCTTCAAGTCAAGCATTAATATGGCACAGACAAGGACGTTCCCAGGGGCAGACGTCGGCAGCGACCACGACATGGTACTAATGAACCTGAAACTAAAGCTAAGAAGCCAAAAAAAACAGAAGAGCCCTAGGATCCGCTATGACCTGAAGAAACTACAAGATCCAGCCATAGCTGCTGACTTCGAAGCTCAGCTTGGCGGCAGGTTTGCAGCATTAAACCTGCTACAGGATGACATCAATGCCCTCACTGAAGACATAAAGGAAGCAATGCATGAAACTGCCGGGAAGGTGCTTGGAAAGCCGAGGAAGAAGAAGAAGCCCTGGATCACTGATAACATTCTAAACCTCTGTGATAAAAGACGAGAACTGAAGAAAACAAAGAAGTCTAAACCAGAGGCCATAGACCAATACCGCACAGTTAACATCACCATCAGATCTGAAATGAAGAAAGCGAAGGAAAGATGGATTTCAGACCAGTGCGATATCATCCAGGGGGGACTAGCTAGAGGTGACAGCAAAATAGCATATGCCACACTAAGAACAATAACAAATCCTCCACAGCAGAAGACATCTGTCATCGAGGATAAGAACGGCCAGCTACTAACAGAAGACAGTGCCATCCTGACCAGATGGACAGAATACTGCCAGGAACTTTACAACTACAAACTGAACCCAGATGTATCCATCTTACAGAACAACATGCCCAGACAGGTTGATGAGGAAGAAGAAGCCCAAGTCTTACCAGAGGAGGTTGAGGAAGCCATCCGCACCTTAAAAGCAGGGAAAGCACCAGGAGTCGACAACATCCCTGGTGAGCTCATCAAGTATGGTTGACCGGCTATGGTAAAGGTGTTAACCAATCTTTGCCAAAAGATCTTGGAGAAGAAAGAATGGCCAAGGGAATGTACACAATCTTTAATCATTCCACTACCCAAGAAAGGCAACCCACGACTCTGTCAGAACTATCGTACCATTAGCTTAATCAGCCACCTGAGTAAGGTCATGCTACGTGTCATCCTCAACAGACTCAAGCCCAAAGTAGAGGAGATACTCACTGAAGAACAGGCAGGCTTCAGGGCTGGAAGGAGCACATTGGAGCAAATCTTCAACATCAGGATGCTGGTGGAGAAACATCTGGACCACCAAAGGGAGATACGGCACAACTTTATAGACTTCAAGAAAGCGTTCGACCGGGTGTGGCACGAGGGCCTCTGGAAAGTTATGAGAGACTACAACATAGACGAGTCTCTGGTGGCTATCATCAAGTCACTTTACGACAATGCAACCAGTGCGGTTCTCCACAACAACCAACTCGGTGATTTCTTCAGAACTACAGTTGGAGTCCGTCAAGGGTGCCTCCTCTCCCCAGCTCTCTTCAATGTGTTCCTAGAAAACATCATGCAAGAAGCTCTGACTGACTTTGAATCATCCATCTCCATAGGGGGAAGACAACTTTCTAACTTGCGTTTTGCTGACGACATAGACTTGATGGCGGGCTCTGAAGACGAACACCAAGATCTTTCAACCCGAGTGGAAAGCAGGAGTACCGCCTATGGTATGGAAGTCAGCACATCTAAGAGCAAAGGCATGATCAATGGCCCAACACCAGATGCAAGAACTACGGTGTCTATGGGCGGCGAAGTCCTTGAAGATGTGGACTCCTTCAAATACCTCGGCTCGATCCTGAACAGGGAGGGTACATCCACACAGGAAATCAGAGCAAGAATTGCACAAGCAACAGCAGCACTTGCTAAACTAAGCCCCATCCTGCAGAGTAAGAACATCAGCCTGCCAGTCAAGATCAACCTCTACAAGTCACTTGTTGCATCCATCTTCCTCTACGGCTGTGAAAGCTGGACCACAACAGCAGAAGCAGAGCGCCGTATAGAAGCCTTCGAGATGAAGTGCTTACGGAGGATACTTGGCATCTCCTACTTGCAACGGAGGACCAACGAGTCGGTGCGACAGGAAGTAGAGGAAGTCTGCGGCAAACAACAATCCCTCCTGTCAACTGTCAAGCAGCGAAAGCTGATGTGGTTCGGGCACGTTTGCCGACACAACACGCTGGCGAAGACCATCTTGCAAGGCACTGTAGCTGGAGGAAGGAAGCGGGGAAGGCCAAGAAAGACCTGGCTAGACAACATCAATAAGTGGACTGGCCTGAGCACAGCACAACTGATCAGGGAGGCCGAGGACAGGACAGGATGGGCCTGGATCACTGCTGGATGTCGTGATGCCCCTACGACCTCTGAGGTCACGGGACTAGAGAGAGAGAGAGAGAGGGCTCTTCCTGGCTGAATTTTACCACAGGGAGGAAAAAGAGGCCATCCAAACACGTAGGCTCATCTGCAGCAACTGCTTTGAAACAGGCCACCATAAGAGCATGTGTGACAAGACAGTGGTATGTATTCAGTGCAGGAAGCCTGGTCACAAGCGTGGTGACCCTGCATGCAGCCTTGACATAGACTCTGATGGTGAGCAGCCAGATGGCGAGCAGCTAGATGGTGGGCAGTTAGATGGTGAGCAGTCAGATGGTAGCTGTGGAAGTGACGAGCAGAGCAGAGACACCTCTCCTGGCATCGAAGAACCACCAACATCAGCACCATGTATCACGGTACCCTACACAAGAAGCAGAAGCAAGAATCGCAGACACAAGAACTCTGATAAACACAGTAAACAAAAGAAGGGTGATGACAGCTCTAAAGACAAGCCCTAGGGAACATGTAAGCCATCAGACTCTGGACAGCCTACAATAGAAAACTGGCTCAAGGATCAGAGACAGTTGCATGGTAAACAGAAACAAAGCACTAAGAACACTAGCAATTGTGTATTATTTTTATCAACATGTCAGGTAAATTCTTCTCAAACAATACCCATCCATCTCTTTCAGTAAGATGGGACTGGAAAAATTGAAACTAATATCATTAAATTGTAGAGGATTAAGAAATTATAGCAAACGAAATCAAATACTATTATGGTTGAAACAAAAAAAGCTGATATATGCCTTTTACAAGAAACATACCTGACAAGTGATATACAACAACGCATAGATAAGCAATGGGGAGGCAAAACCATACATTCTTTTGGAACAAATCACAGCAAAAGTGTCAGTATCCTTTTTAATAAAAAAAACATCATTTGATATCCTTGAATACAAAATTGACAATGAAGGAAGAAAAATTCTTGTAAATTTCACCTATGATAAGGAGACTTACACCTTGCTATGTATTTATGCCCCCAATGATCCAATAGAAAGAAGAAATTTCTTGTGTGGTATTCAAGACTGGATCAAAGATTGGACTCTCTATCCAATGCTTGTTGGTGGAGACTTCAATGACGTATTTGATGCAAGCCTAGATAAAATAGGTGGATCTGCAAATGCGCAAATGAAAAAAACCAAGCGTTAAAAGATTTCTGTAGATCTTTTGACTTAATTGGCATTTTCCGAACATTACATCCAAGACTTAAGAAGTATACTTGGAAAAGAAGAACACCAGCAGTTGCCTGTAGACTTGATTACTGGCTTGTATCAAGCACACTTATAAGAAATATTTCTAAAGCTGAACATTATCCAGCTATAAGAAGTGATCATAATGCTGTATTCATTGAACTGTATACTAAGAAAGTACCACAGGGCAATGGAATTTGGATGTTAAATGTAAGCCACCTAAATGATCCTACCTACAAACAAGAGATAGAAAAAATTATAACTGATACAAAAAACGAATTCAAAAGTCATAAACCGAACCTTATCTGGGAAATCTGCAAAATAAATATAAAGGAATTTTCCATTTCCTGGTCAAAACAAAAAGCAAAGGAAAGAAATATTGTAGAAAAAAATCTGTTAAATAAATAAGAAGAAATTGAGGAAAAAATTGATGAAAATCTAGACACTCATATTCTAGCTGAGTATGATTTTACTAAGAAAAAATTGGAAAAAAAATTATGAAGATAGAGCCAAAGGAGAACAGATCAGAGCAAAAACAATACACATTACTGAAGGAGAAAAACCCAGCAAGTATTTTTTGAATCTGGAAAAAAAGAAACAAGCACAAAATTGTATAACATCATTATCTAAACAAAGCACAAAAAATTAATGATCAACCATCCATATAAATGAATGTCGTAACTTTTATGAAACTCTATATACGTCCAAAATATTGCAGATCATGAGATAGATGAATATCTAAACAGAATAGACATTCCAAAAACACTTACTGAAGAACAGAAAGAAATTTGTGAAAAACCTATCACTATACATATATATATATATGAATGTGAAACAGACAGTTATGAATATGAAAGATGGAAAAACACCAGGATCAGATGGACTCCCCGCTGAATTTTATAAAACTTTCTGGCCACAGATAAGTTCCTTAATACATAATGTCATAACAGTGAGTCTAGATGAAGGGAAACTACCATGTTCTTTTAGAAAAGCTATGTTAAGATTACTTTACAAGAAAGGAGATCCATAGTCTCTTAATAACTGGAGACCTTTAAGTCTGTTAAATACGGATTACAAAATTCTCGCCTTCATACTTGCCAACAGAATTAAACCCATTCTGGATAAGTTGATAAACAAGGACCAAACGGCATACATAAAAGGACGATTTATCGGGCAAAATGTTAGATTGGTAAATGACATTATAAACTACTGTGACGATAAAAACAAACCAGGAATGATCCTGTTCCTGGATTTTGAGAAAGCTTTCGATAGCATTGAGCACAACTTCATGTTCAAAGTTCTGGATAAGTTTAATTTTGGTCCCACTTTTGTTAACTGGGTTAGAATAATATACACAGACTGTATCGCATCAGTGTTAAATAATGGATGGAGAACAGCCTGTATTCAGATCAAACGTGGTATAAGGCAAGGTTGTCCACTGAGCGCTCTCCTTTTTTATTTGTTGCTGAAATTTTATTCCATGTTATACAATCAAATGAAAATGTAAAAGGAATTATGATTGATGAACATAATATTAAGGTATGTCAAGTAGCTGACGATACAACATTGTTTCTATCTACTGAGGAATCATTAACTGAAGCTTAATACTGTATTGATCAATTCCATCAAGTCACAGGTCTGAAACTCAATAGATCCAAAACAAAAGGATTATGGGTAGGCCTATGGAAAGAAAAAAGAAACAACTGGAAGGGATTGAGCGGCCACTACAGCCTATCAAATCTCTGGGTGTATATTTTGGACACTGTAAGAAAACCCTAGGTAAATTAAATTGGGACGACAAAGTAAAGGAATTAAAAAATTATTCTCAACACATGGAGGCAAAGAAATTTAACCATATATGGTAGAATAACCATTGTTAAATCCTTAGCTGCTACAAAATTAACATATAATATGAACATGTTGCATATGCCTATATCAGTACAGAATGAGGTAAATAATGCTTTGTTTAACTTTATTTGGAATGGTAAACAAGATAAGATTAAGCGTAAAACAATAATTGGAAACCTTGATCAAGGAGGTCTAAGAATGTTAGACATCTACTGTGTTAAAGATTTTCTGCTCGCTTCTTGGGTAAAGCGCATCTGTTATGGTGAAGGGGGTCTTGGAGATATATTCCCTTAATGTATCTATCTGCATTTGGAAACAATGTGAATCTGATTTTTTAAAATAAATGGCATAGATGAAAAATTTATGGATAAGTTACCAATTTTTTATAAACAAGTTATTTCTGCATGGTACAAATTATGTAGCCATTGTACAAACACAGAGAGTGACATACAGAATCAGATTATTTGGGGCAATAATCACTTTCTATTTAAGGGAAAATCATTATTGTACCCACACTGGATAAACTCAGGATTTGTGTATGTTAAGGATATTTTACAGAATGGTATTTTTTTAAAAGATGAAGAAGTTTTCCGTAAACTTGATGTTAAACGTAACTGGGCATGTGAATTATTTTCTGTTAAACAAGCCATACGTAAACACCTGAAATATATGAATGTAGTTGATAACACTGATGAAACCAAATGCACAGATGTCCCAAACTTATGTTTTTTGAAAACATTAAAACTATACCAATTACTTATGCAACAGAAATTTTGAATTGCCTTGTGTACAAAATAAATGGGAGGTTGAATTGAAATGTAAGCCTATATGGAAAAACATATGGAAAAACCAAACATATAATCCTATTGGTAAACATTTGATGCAATTGAACTATAAGCTTTTACACCGTATATTGCCATGTGGCAAGTTACTTAAGGTTTGGAAGATAAAAACTACTAATGTTTGTAATTTATGTAACTGTATCGATGATTATAATCATATGTTTATTGCATGTTGTAGGTTAAACGTTTTTTGGAAATGTGTTGAAAATTTTATATACAAATTCTTTCAGTGCGATGTAAAAATGAGTTATGAAATATTGATATTAGGATATAAAACATACTTGCCAAGTTTGCCTAGCACAATTAGAGACATAAACACTACTTTAAACATAGCAAAGTATGTAATTTGGAGGACATGGTGTGAGGGAAGGAGATATGTGGGCGGTCTGTCACTGGTCCACATATTTGGGGATGAGGTAAAATATTTTCCACTCATCCCTGAGTGTGTGGACTGGTGGTGGACAGTTTCGCGTCTTTTCTTCCCTCACGCCATGTCCAGGAATTGGCTTCTGGTATTCATCACATTACTGAAATCTGAAAATATTTGAAATTAATGTCTCACTAGGACTCTTTAAGTGAACATGTTTTAACATGAGTATTTAAACGGGCTCTAATAGGGTATGAATTCAACAAACCTTTTTTGTACATGCTTCAGTCGACAATAATGTCAAGAAACTTCATCTGTGATATCTAGGGCAGTCTAAAGACCTGTTGTGTCTAAGTGTTTTAGACATCTTTTTTTAGTGACTGTTCTTTGTGATTGGTGCGTGTATTTTGGGGATATGGCTGTAAAAGTTGTTAAAAGTAGCTGTGTATGTATATGTACTTCTACCTGTACTTGTTTTCACGATTTGAATAAACAGTGTTTAAAAAAATCTCCCCTAGGAGAATCTGGGATCCTCCTAGGGGAGATAGGAATTCAAGTTGTTTGTACAAAACTGGGATCTGAATATATGAATTCCAATCTCTCCTAGGAGGATTCCAGATTCTCCTAGGAGATATAAGGATTCCAATTTGTCCTAGGACAAGTGGGAATCGTTACAGGACAATCTCCAATTTTAAAAGGAGAATTTCTGATTGCATCAAAATGCTTGGGAAAATAGACTGAGTTATTTCACACCTAAACTTCCAACAATTTCAGCATAGGTAAGTGAATATGTAAGTCAGACTCAGATATTTGCATCAGGCCATTGTGAGATAGTGAATCAAAAACCAATTTTCCAGTTTGCTAGTGGTTTGTAAATTCTGAATAAAATCATGGTTTGTAAGAATACTGTTGTTTCCTTTATTTTGCCAATTTATTTTCACATTATTTTGCCAATTGGAAATATATTTGGGTCAAAGTTTGGAAAGAATGCAATTATGGAATTAGAACTGCAAATTATGCCAGGACAAATCTTGATTCCAATCTAGTAATTCACCTACAATTATAGTAATAGGCTTGCCTATGCTGAAATTGATTGAAGCTTTAGTTGTAAACTGATTTAATCTATGAGTTCTAGTATTTCTACTACTGAATTGGGATCTGAATATCAGGATTCCAATCTCTCCTAGGAGGATTTCAGATTCCCCTATAGGAGGATCCCAGTCTCCCCTAGGGGAGATTTGAATCCCTATCTCCCCTAGGAGGATTCCAGATTCTCCTAGGGGAGATACAGATTCCAATCTCCCCTAGGAGGATTCCAGATTCTCCTAGGGGAGATAGGGATTCCAATCTCTCCTAGGGGAGATAGGGATTCCAATCCCCCCTAGGAGGATTCCAAATCCCCCTGGATTCCAATCTCCCCTGTGACATATACACCAAAACATCATCCAGAATGAAAACAAGATAAACATTTTTTGGCGTTTAAGAATTACATACCTTTGATTAAAACTGCCCGCAGTGGCCTAACGTAGAGACCATGAGCTGGGTAGCTGACTGGTGACCTGCCGTCCACATAGTTGTATATGTCGTCCATACAGATCTTCCTTAGATTTGTAGATGCAAAAGGTCTATAAATAATCCTTAAATACTGTTGCATAATTACAAATTATGAGCATTTATATCAAAATAGTCTTTACACATATTAAAGATAAAAAAGATGAATGTATTTAACCGCTATATTGTTATATGTGGTTAACTTTAACGTATATATTCAAGTACCATGTTAGCATTCTTTATTGTATAATAAAAATCAAAGCCATCCAATGCACTTTCAGTGCAGCAAAAAACATGCAGCAAAACAAACGAATTCTGCTAAGGAAATCTGACATTTGCTACAATCTCCGAGCACATCCGTCATTATTTGTTATACATGAAGTCTTTTAAATAGCCCTTAAAATTTCTAATTTACACTTTCTTTAAAGTCTTGTAAACTTTTAACGTTTACCTAGGATACGTTTATTTCTGTAAAATTTACGTTAAAAAGGTTGGGTAGAACCACATTGCCATGGTAACAATTATTAAATTACCTCTTTGTTGGCTATTGCAATGGATACAATAAAAAAGAAGGTACTTTGAATTCCACCCGGTTCTGACACGCTTAGACGATTACAATCGCTAAGCAGGATCGCTGCTTAGCCTAAGCAACATAGTCTCATAGTCCAGCCTACGCGCTTAGCGACAATATCACAGCGGATCTAGAGCGGCAGGAGCCGCGAAGCCTCACGCGATCGGGGTCACCGCAGCGGCCAGGTCACGGCCCGACATACAGCCGACCGTTCTGTACGTCTGGAAACTTCGCTACGCCACGCATATATACATTCTACGTCAACTATTTTACAGGTAAGTGTTGCTCCAGGTTATGGTTTCAACTTGGGCTGACATGGGATTCGGAAAAAGCTCAAACAGTTAAACTAAACTGGGCTGTTAAAAATAATATTAAATGGGGGAGGGGGGCAAAAGTCAGGTTTGAATGAGGGTACGTATAGGCTTTGCGAAAATCTGAAAATCTGAATTACCGCACAGCTCCAAATCATCTGGATATTAGATGAAAGGGCCACACAGATATTACCTGCACGGTGCCTTACCTGGTTCCCAGATAAAAGGCTGGCACAGATATTACCTGTAGATAGCCTTATCTGGATACCAGATGAAAGGGCCACACAGATTTTACCTGCACTGTGCCTTGCCTGGTCCCCAGCTGAAAGGTTGACACACTATATTACCTGCATGGTGCCTTACCTGCATACCAGATGAAAGGGCCACACACATATTACCTGTATGGAGTCTTACCTGGCACCGTGTACCTGGTCCTGGATACCAGATGAAAGGGCCACACAGATATTACCTTACCTGGTTCACAGATGAAAGGGCTACACAAATACAAAACATACTAGTATTATATAATTACCTGTACGGTGCCTTACCTGGTTCACAGACAAAATGGTCATATTATTACCTGTTCTGTGCGCAATTCACCTGCACCAAACCTGCACTGCCCATGTACTACTACTACTAGTAGCTTTATATAAAAATATAGGCATATTTGAATTTTTATTTGCTGCATGACTGTTAAACCATGTGTTAAGTTTAAAAGAAATGATGGCAATACTAGTAGGTTCCAGTTTTCAATGTAATCCATAATGTTATGAGTGGTACAGGCAAAATGTGTCTGGTGCAGGTGATTTTCAATTATTGTAATTCGGTCAAGAGACTTTCAGCTGTGGACCAGGCAAGGCACTGTGCAGGTAATATCTATGTGGCCCTTTCATCTGGTATCCAGATAAGGCTCCGTACAAGTAATATCTGTACGCCAAAAAAACAGTTACTCAAGCAACTGGATATGTTTTTATTTGCTGCATGACTGTTAAACCATGTGTTCAAAATCATATCCAGTTGCTTGAGTAACTGTTTTTTTTTGGCGTATCGTATTACCTGGATGTCTAACCTTCATCAACGTAAGTAATATCTGTGTCAGCCTTTTATCTGGGGACCAGGTAAGGCACCGTACAGGTAATATCTGTGTCAGTCTTTCATCTGGTATCCAGATAAGGCTCTGTACAGGTAATATCTGTGTCAGCCTTTTATCTGGGGACCAGGCAAGGCACCGTACAGGTAATATCTGTGTCAGTCTTTTATCTGGGGACAAGGTAAGGCACCGTACAGGTAATATCTGTGTCAGTTTTTTATCTGGGGACCAGGTAAGGCACCGTACAGGTAATATCTGTGTCAGTCTTTCATCTGGTATCCAGATAAGGCTCTGTACAGGTAATATCTGTGTCAGCCTTTTATCTGGGGACCAGGCAAGGCACCGTACAGGTAATATCTGTGTCAACCTTTAATCTGGTGACCAGGTAAGGCATCGTACAGGTAATATCTGTGTCAGTCTTTTATATGGGTACCTGGTAAGGCACCGTGCAGGTAATATCTGTGTCAGCCTTTTATCTGGGGACCAGGTAAGGCACCGTACAGGGAATATCTGTGTGGCCCTTTTATCTAGTATCCAGATAATTTGGAGCTGTGCTGTAATTCCAATTTTCAATGTTACCTGCAGAGAAGAGTGTGTCGGGCTCTGCTAGTTCCTTGTGCAGATTTACTCGGAATCAAGCCCTCCCTAGTTCATTTTCGAGATTAGCTCAAACCCTCCCTTACGTTAGTTCCTAGTTCAGATTTTCGCAAAGCCTATACGTACCCTTATTCAAACCTGACTTTTGCCCCCCCCCCCATTATTATTATTATTAACAGCCCAGTTTAGTTACTGTTTGAGCTTTTTCCGAATCCCATGTCAGCCCAAGTTGAAACACTTACCTGTAAAATAGTTGACGTAGAATGTATATATGCGTGGCGTAGCGAAGTTTCCAGACGTACAGAACGGTCGGCTGTATGCCGGGCCGTGACCTGGCCGCTGCGGTGACCCCGATCCCGTGAGGCTTCGCGGCTCCTGCCGTTCTAGATCCGCTGTGATATTGTCGCTAAGCGCGTAGGCTGGACTATGAGACTATGTTGCTTAGCCGACAGACTCGGCTAAGCAACGGTCCTGCTTAGCGATTGTAATCGTCTAAGCGTGTCAGAACCGGGTGTGAATTCTTTGAAACAGAATGCTAGTTCAATGATCAGCAAAATGATCTCTATTAGGGGTATTATTGTTAGATGCACACACACACATTTGGAATTTTGATCGAGGCATTGACATAATGTTGCGAAAGCTTTTGAAGCAGTTTGTTGATTTTTGAATACAGAATAAAATTATACAGTTCATAATTAAATATTACTATAGTAACAAAGAAACCTTACCGCCTCTCAAATCGTTCTAAACTTTTCATCTTTTGTTCAAGTTCCAGTGTCCACTGCGGAGAGGTATGTACTCTTCTGTTGCAGACGCATGGCGGTTCACTAATATTTTTTTTCAAAAGGTAATAAGAGCAATAATTAAAATATTCTGGCATGCTTTTTGAAGAAGCAATTCCTTTCCGAATATAAATTGTTCTTGTAGTTAACACAACGGGTAAATATAAGTATTTCCAGGTCATATGTAAATAGATCATGCAAGAAAACAACATTTTAATGTAATATGTATATTTTTCTCCTTGTGATTAGGCTTTTGAAATTTCATTTCAAATTAAAAAAAAAGAATTGAATAAAAGGTAACCAGCGTCTTTTTTTAATTTTACCTGGACACTAATAAAATGTTCAATGGTAACACTAATGCAGTATAAAAATGCATTATGACTTATAGGGGTAAAAGGGTGTAAAACTAAGTCATACTTTTGGGTTATTACGTAATGGAAATTTACGTGTTATGTTTTGCAACAGCTGGGGAATAAAACGCTATCTAAGTCTTACCATACTTACACTAATTATACTTAAAGAACCAAAACAAACTTACTTCAACGTTAACATCGTGTCATTCTTTCTTGCACAGATTTTCTGTTCTCTTTCAGCGAGCACAATTGGCGCAACATTTGGTGTTGCAGGTTCCACGTGTTTAATAACACATGGCTCAATATGAATATAAATGCTGAGTGAAACACAACTGCAACAGGCATAAGATATTGAGATTTACACATAATGCAAACAAAAAAAAAACGTAGGTACATCGATCTTTAGCAATTGACGTAGCAATCTCGGATGCGTTTTAAAATATATTCACTTGCCATGAATAATAAACATAGCTTAAAAACAGTCCATGGAACAGACGCCTCCCCGAAGTAATGATGGTGTTTGGAACCTTTCGTTTGTATATTTGTTTGAAACATTTCTTTTATTAATGAGAAACTCAAATTGGTCAGCAGGCCGTTTTTGTCGTTAAGGTCATAAGGGAAAAGGCAATTGTCAGACATAATAAAGAAATAACATAATTTAAAGTTCTGGTATTTTAATAACTTCTGTCATACCTACATGCAAAATCTATGAAAATGATCTTATTTGACAGGCAAACGAGTTGTTTAAGGTGTAAAAGTCCTATCTTTGAATATTGCATTGTTTTATTTTAATAATATTTAAAACATCACCCTCATTTACCTCTATATGACTTACTATTATGTTACACAATCTGCCATCAGTGACACCATTGTTATGCGCCAATGTAAATACCACAATAGCAAGTCCAGCAAATGTGGCAGTTTTACGTATTAAGCAGACGTATCATAAAGGGCAGAGCGCTGTTCTGAGAACGATCAATTCTGCTGCGAGGAGTGCTTAGTTTATAGGATGATCTGGTTTATTGCACCTCTGCCAGGTGACAGTAAATGCCTGGACTAGATTGTCTAAGGTATTTTGCAAAGTTCTTAGTTATGACATCGTGTCTAAAGGGTATAGTTCCAAGTAGTAGCAGCCCTCGGTGTAGGGTGTGTACTTCGCACCTATTATGATGCGTGTGGCTCTCCGTTGAACCTTCTCGATCTTGTTGATTAGTAAGTCCATTGATCAGTCCAGAGTGCCAGACAGGGGCAGCGTACTCGAGAACTGAGCATATATAGGACGCATAAAGTATGACGAGGTCTTCTAAAGAGATGTTAATGTGTTTCAGTTGGCGGAGTAGGAACTGACGGAGGGCGTATTATGTCCGATCATAATAAGGATCATGCTGACATATTGAACAGTTTCATTCAGTGTTCGGGGACGGTAAAACTGCCTACCTGCCTAAGTGCCCAGGCCAGGTACTGGCCCCTTGCTCCCCTCCGTCAGGTTCCTCCAACCAGTTCTGTCAAGAGCGATAGCCTCAGCTACACTTAGAGTAATCCCTGTGTCACTCTGGATCTGATCTTTCCACCTTTTGGGTGGTCTTCCCCGGGTCTAGGGTTTTGGAAGTCCTGGTGGTATGGCTTATAAACTAAGGTGTTTGACGGTCTTCGCATCACATGCCCAAACCATCTGAGCCTTCTAGTGCGTATCCTGTCAGTGATGGTTTGTTCCGCCCCAAGTCTTGACCGAATTTTTGCATTTGGGATGCGGTCCCGCAGGGTGATGCAGAGTATCACTTAAGCATCTCATTTTAAATGATAGCAGTAGAGGTTCGTCCGATTTGTTCAGGGTCCATGTTTCACATGCATATGTAGCAATTGGCAGGATAAGTGCTTGGAACAGCCGTACTTTGAGGTTTTTTGCTAATATCCCTTCGGTTCCATACTGTTTTTCTGAGCCTACCAAATACAGAGGCAGCAAGCGCTATCCTCCTCTTAATGTCGCTAGTCGTGCCAGGGACGACACTTCCAAGAAAGACAAATTCAGGGACCTTCTCAACTGCTGTGTCTTCTATCATGATGTTCTCTGTTTCCTCACTAGTGATAACTTTACATTTTGCCGCATTGACCTTTAACCCTCATTTTTTACATGCAGACTCAAGTTCTGTTGTAGAGATTTGAAGTTTTCTAAATATAGCTGCTATAATAGTAGTGTCATTAGCATATCTCTCCTCAGTAGAGAGGTTGTCATGTAGCTGAAAAGTGGGATCGAGACTTTTCAGCTCATCCATTACAAACTCAAGAAATATGTTGAAAAGGACAGGTGACAATAAGCAACCCTGCCTGACTCCCACTCCCACCTGGAACCAACTGATGATTTGCCGGTTGAACTCTATAAAAGAATTTCAGGAGAAGTGCAACATGCCACCCCCGGACTACCCATTCTATTCTTCATAAGGTCAACACATTTTGATTTAGAGGGTAAAAAAAATTACTAATGTAATGGTTCCAGAGGAACTAGCATATACCTGTCTGCTCTGCAAGGCAATGGCAGCACCAAATCTAAGGTGAGTGTCTTTCAGTAGACATGTCTGTGCAGTACCACTCACCATCGCCCTCTAATCTTCAGTTAGTACTGGCACACTACCATCTGACTGGAAAACAGCCATATTGCACCGGTGTTTAAGAAAGTTGAGCAGATAACTACAACTCGGTGTCGATAACGAGTTTTTTAATGTGCTTGAGCACATCTTAATCAGCACTATAATGGGTCATCTAGAAAACCACTGCATTCTTTGTAACCAACAACATGGTTATAGAAGAGAGAGGTCATTTAAAACACAACTTCTTAAATTCACAGAAGAGCTGTTTGAAAATATGGTAAGTGGCCGTCAGACGGACGTCCCTGTGATGGACTTTGCAAAAGCCTTTGGTGAGGTTAACCATAGTCTACTACAACATAGACTCTGCCATTATGGCATCCGTGGAGAGATCAGTGCTTGGATCACAGCCTTCTTCACTGACAGACCCCAAGCGGCAGTAGTCAACGGTAAGCGTTCCGACTTCGTCAGTGTGAAATCGTAGGTCCCACAGGGCTCCAACAGTCTTGAGGGCCTTCGTTATCAATGCTTTGCCGTCTGTCCTGACCTGCTGATTACACTGCTGCGTACAACACCATCATCTCTGCAAAGGACCAGTTAGTGCTTTATCAAGACCCGCAACAGCTTGCTGAATGGGAGAACGTAGAACATGACGTTTAACCCTTAAAAGTGTCAGGCCATTCGTGTCACTCGCATTAGTAGGGTCTTCCAGTACTACTACCAACTCCATGGTCAGACCTTGGAGATGGTCCCTAGCGCCAAGCACTTATGTGTAACCATCACGAAAGACCTCACATCAACAACCTGTGCAACAAAGCCAATAAGAAGTTGGGATTGCCCTTTTGAATAGGCTAATCACCGAGCGGTTTAATCGCCACATGCCCGCGCGCGTAAAATGGCGTCGTTGCACAACTAGCGCGACGAGCAGACAAAGTTAAAAGTTGGGCCGTAAACTACACATTAGCCGGGATTTTTTAAGACTTGACCCTATCTACACCGGGCTTTTTTTGGGATTCGTCGGACGGAGGGGGTGTGCTCAATCGCCCCCCCCCTCAAAACTCGAGAACAGTATACTAAACGGAGTATTAGTGACAAGAAATCATAACAACAATTTTGTAGGATGTAAGATGTGTTGATCATGCACCCGTCTCTCACGTAGAGGTACCTTGCTGAAGAGAATATGAAGGACTTTTTTTACAACATTTTGCGGGATGAAGATTCATATGGCTATCGTCGGACCCTTATTCATGCCAGTCATATCCTTCTGGATGTTAAAGGGGGGTGAGTTCGGGTGCCTTCGGGTGCCTGACGTTAAGTAGATTCACGTTGTTGAACGAACTTCTATCGCTTACAGACCGCGTGACGAGCAGTGCCGCCGAAATAAGCAATAAATATCAACTGGCCAAGTAGGGTACCCTGAGGTAGGCCACAAGTAATGATGATACCGTCAGAAAATGTTCCATGGCGCCTGTTAGGTTACAATCCACCTCACAAAAGGGAGGATTCCAGACATACATCTAACAGAGGACAAATGGCGGTGGTAAGGCAGTGGCTTTGAAAATCTCATTCGTCAAGTCCAGTGATTGGCAAAGCTTTCAGCAACCTTTGCCAGGAGTGACGTCAGAGAGATAGGACGGAGTTCGTGAACCGATGGTTGTTTTGTCTTGGGTATCCGGTCCGCAGTCCGCCAGGGGGGGGGGGTCTGAGTTCGTATGCGAATTCATTTATGACCTTTCCCGGGATCCCGTCAGGTCCGGCTGCTATCCAATTACCTTTAGTTTCCTAGTTAACTTCCCAAGGTTCAACAGACACTGAAAAATGTACGTCCGGGTATTTATGCTGGTAGTGAAGATAGATTGGTCTGCTGGAGGGACTGGATAAACGAAATAACCGATGTAAGTGTTTGATTAATCTCATTAGTTATACCTAGTTCATTGCCGGGGTCCATGCCTTCGATGTGTATGACTGGCTCAGTACGGGACATGTTGGCAATAATTTTTTTTCTTTCTTAAGTGTTAAGTGTGAATCTCGAGGTATAGAACTCCTTTAACCCTCAACAGTACACCTTCCCGGACTGATTAATCTGTACACCTGGGGTCCGCGCGAACCCCAGAACAGTTATTTGCTACTTTTTAGAAACTATCAACATGCTACCAGCTCAATTGTTTTACTAATTGATGTGTGAACCTCTGAGTCCACATTACGTACAAAAAATCATACATTTTGACCTTTTCCTATTTTTTGTGAAGAAAAGACAAAAAGAGGAAAAACCAGATTTTTAAACACTATTCAGACCGAGTGATCTTTTGAGGCCCGCGTCAACTTTAATCTCGAATAGCGCCTAAACGGCTTAAGCTAGAACCATTGAATTTGGTGAGCTTTCCTAAAATAAATCGGGGAAAAATTTCATGTTGGTTAAATAAGTTAATGATTTTGTGTGTTGCCATGGCAACAGGTTTCTGACAGGCAGTTTCTTTAAAAAAATCAGTAATTTTGGTTTAAACATAAAAATTATCTGGGTTTTATATTAAATAACACTTCCTTTCTGACATCAATAACATTTTACATAATTAGAGATAAGTTAAATCATTAAATATTCATAATATATGCTAATTTAATGATGCAATTGGTCAAAATCCTAGATGGCGGACCGTGTTATTAGCTCTGACGTCATATGAGGTCATAATTACACCAAAGTTGTTAGAATTTAATTCTATTAGTACACCATTCCCTAAAAATGTGGTGGCCATACGATAAGTGCATAAAAACATATAAAAACTGAAATAAAGTAATGTATAAGAACGCCAGTGTATCCATTATGACCGCGCGGACCCCAAAAGAAAATCAGATATAAAAATTTTTCAGAATGGGGGAAACTGTGTTTTCTGCACTGTGTTGAGGGACAACTTTGTGGGTAACACTTACCTGAATTCGAAATTTCAGAAAAAAATCTTTAGAAACAAAAAAAAATAGTGCTGGGGTCCGCGCGGACCCCAGGTGTACTGTTTAGGGTTAAGCAGCTCTGATCATGCGTTGTGTTTTGTTTCTGAGGTGCCTCCAGACTTAGGGTCACTTGTGAGCGCCTGCTGGCGTTGCCGAATCAGAGCTTTAATGTCAGGTGTAGTCCAGGGCTGGTCTTGAAGGTACAAAAAAGAACGTTTCATGTGAAACAGTAGGGAGGTGTGTGTATCACTACATTTCTAAACTGCGGTAGGAGCCGAATAAGATTTTGGCCATTCTCGGTTGGGTTAAGGCAGCCTATGGCATACTATGAGTAGTATTTCATACATATGCCTGTAACTTTTGATAGCTTGGTCGCACCACAACTAAACTTCACACAGTTCTAGTAGTACTTGAAACAAATTGAGTAAAGGTTATTTTGTTTTTACTACTTCTGGATTTTGGGGTTAAAAATCAACATTTTGGTAACAAAAAAGCTGTTTACTTCATATCTTTACCCGCAAGCAGTAACAACACCTTTCATCATGATATTTTACAAGTAGAAAGCCAACCCCCTATTTTTTATTTTTGTCCGAGGCTATTTTGTTTTAAATGACAGTTACATTGTTTTTTGGGCCCAAAACGACAGAAACAGCTATTTTTCCGTCATTTTTCGTTAAAAAATCGTCACAGTTAAAAATATCGACTTATATGCAAAATAGCCTTGGTCAATTTTGATTAAAAAGTGATAATACGTAAACATGGATTACTCTAAAGATCAATTATGCTGTTTTCAGCTGCGCGTATAGCCGTTTAAGTCATACTCCGTGAATAAAATGCGTAACAACGCGGGTTTGCAGTGGAAACATACAAATGACCGCCGGTAACCCCGAATTCGAACACGCGTTCTATTCGAATGACGTCATATCGAACATGGTGGAACATGATTCAGGTTCGAAACAAGTCTGTGGCCATCGTGCAGACATGCCCGAACTCAAACATGAATATCAGCCTATAGGCCGCCTTAACCCAACCGAGTTCGTTGGTAGTTATCGACTGACTTAAGGACTGAAGACTGAAGAGTCCCGTAAATGTCTGCAAATTCTTGTTGGGAGCGCGTCTTTTCATGGCTTGTACCGTGATTACGCTATGGTCACTTGTAGCTAACGGGTCTGGAGCACCTGGTTCATAGTAGTAAGAGGTCAGGTTTGTAATGTCACTTTACCTCTAGTGGGTTGTTTAAAATCTTGTCACAAGTTGTGAGTCCTGCTCAGCCTGTTCACTTTGACATGGTTGCATATGATGTTTGGTTTAGAAGATCCCCGGCAAGACATCAAATACACTACACACGGCGTGCACCAGAAGGGGTAATGGCACATTACGTCTCGTCGTTTAGATGCCGCCTTATTAAGCTTCACAGTCCTTCAATTTTCGCGGACGCCGAGAGTTTATACCATGTCTACAACGGTAGAACAGTAGTTGGATGACTTAGGATTGAAGCTGTTTCACCTCTGGCCATTATTTGTGGTTCCTGGACGCCTTATTAACGAAAAAAACGTAAGGAAGCTGTGACCCATGCACCAAAAGGGTACAGCATGTGCACCATCTTGAAAAAGCTAAAAATCGGAGAGCTCTTTGTGTATCACAGAAGAAGAGCAGAGGGCTGTGAGACCAGCTCTATGGTTCTTTGTGGACTCTTGTTTTGTCGCTAGTCACAGAGCGCTAGAGCTCCATTGGGAAAATCGGTGACAACAACCACCATGACACCATTGTATATTGAGCTCCATTCACAGAAGTCTAACTAAAAATCAACGAATCAACGCCAACCAACGAATTAAATTCTTTTGTCGCAGAGCTCTGCAGAGATATCACCGAGGACTGTGTTAGCAGCTCCATGGAGGAGCTTTGCACATGGAGAATGCTCTTACAGGGCCTTCCCAAATGTTAAGATTCTTTGAACCTAGATATTTTTCTTAACAATATTCGACAATATACAATAAAGTTGCTAATAAATTCATAGTACATGAATTTTCGCAACATTTACAAAATGGTGTGAACTATCCTCAGGGTGGTACCTATTGCGTTATTTCGTCTTATAGCCTGGCAATTTCATAACAAACATTGTTTATTTAATTTTATAAGATTCTTCATAAAATGAATGAATAAATGGTTTATTTCAGTTGACACCTTGCAACCAATTGGCCAAATTACGAACAACTCACAAAATGTCTTTAACTGAATTACATTCAACTTAAAAGTGTTACACAGTTACAGAAGACAATAGATAATGTTGTTTTACCTTACCTGCCTGCGACAAAGAATATAAGATGAAGAAATATGTCCTTCTTTTTAAAATTTTTCATATCTATTGAAGAGTTGTATCTGAAAAAAAAAGTCAGTACTAGTATATCACGTAACTTTAAGTCCATGTAATTAAAATGACAGAAACCTTGTATAGAATATATTAGATTTTAAATGACATTTGGATCCTTTAGAAAGTGGTTGAGGGTAATACACTGTCGACTGTTTTTTTTTAGGAAGAGTTTAAAATATATATACATAATACATTTGATTTACATAAAAGTTTTGGGTTAATGGTTCATCTGTTTTTGATCTGTTAACATTTTTTTAATTACAGCAAAAAGTAAAATGCAACGCGATGGAGCGATGCAAAATCCTATGCATATGTCTGTCATGTTTATATATAAGTTAAATTTTATTCATTGATTGCCTTGGAAGTGTAGTTACTCTCCTTCACAAGACCACATAGATTAATTATAAGGCACACCTACCACCATGCATATAGTCAAGGTTTTACAGTACATAGCAGAAAGTTATTAGTCTATCGCTAAATAGTCATATATTAGAAAAAATTATATGACATATCGACTATAACTAAGGCCTTTTGTAAGATATCATAGTAACGAACACAACTGTTATTAATTCAAATTAATAAATAACTTTTTCAAATTACTCAAATAGATTAAAAGGTTTCTTAGCTACGTTCTTATTGTACATAACCGAACACCACCTACTGTAAATTCTCGATCGAAGGTCAGAAGTGGTCCAGTTGTTTGATAGTTTCAGGGCTTAATTTAACTGACAAATAGAGGATTGATTCACACCATGCACAGTTAATATCATTCCATTTGCTAGCACCGGCCAATGAAAAGCAGATATCAACAATGTGCGAAGCTCGATCTGTCTGACGACATTCCTTTCTCACGGTGATTGGACTTGCATGTACGCTGACGACATGTTAGTGCCAGTCTTTTGTAGATAACATATATCGTTAGCCACATCTAGCCTTACTAACGCACCTGCAGTCAAGGTTCTTTTTGACCACGATAGGCGAACATCATTATTACCTTCACCTAGCATTTGTCCTTTGTCCGTTTGTGAACAGCATAACTCAAGAAGCTTTATATGCATTGCCAATAAACTTGGTATGTACGTAGGTCTTGATGAGACCTAGAAATGATTAGATTTTGGGCCCCCTGGTGGCTTTTGTTGGTACCGCAGCAGAACTTCCGGTTTTGATATCTCGCGATTTGGACATGCTATGGTCACGAAGTCTAGTTGGTAGATAACTCTTGGCGTAGGAAAGAAGTGGCATGAGTTTGGGCCCCCTAACAGCTTGTTCTGGAACTGCAGGAGCATTTGTTGATAAATTTTTGAAGGAGGATAACTCAAAAACCGGTTGACGGAATGTAGTATTTTTTGGCATGTAGATAGCGAAAGTGATGCTTAAAATAATTGTTACATGACAATTACGCAAATCAGGAGCTAATCTGCATAATTAATGGAGAAATTCTATAAATCTGCTTTGTTCGATAATGGGACCATGGGACACTTGTGACATGTAATTAAGAGCGAATGTCTGTAAGGATCAACCAATGGTGGCACCGGTCAAAAAATCGATTTGGCTCATTTTTTGCACAGTGATAGTACTTGGTACATAACCCCTCAGAATAGCTTTCTTTTTGCTCAGAACCCCTTGTTGCCATGGCAACGGGCCAAAGAAGTTTTCAGGGCATTTTCCCAGATTTCGGCATGTACAAAACATGGAAATTGGCTAACTTTAGGGCACTATAACTGATCAGTGCTTTAGCGTAACGACAAGAGCAAGATGTGCTGATCAGAGCAATGGCTAAACTTGTATAAAATAGCAGTAAAGTTAATGTTCATTGAAATCTGAGGTCTTGGGCACTCTGAATACAATGCACTGTTTTAAGGGCGTAAAAAAACTGAAATTTTGCCCAATTTTGAAGCACTGTAAGTCCCAAAAGGGGAAGATGTTTTGCTTGAGATTTACACAGCATAATAAACCACTCCAGAGGTATCAGATGCATGCTTGCAAAGTTTGGGTTCTTGTTTCGTTGCTACGCACTTGTCCTTTAAAGTAGGTCAGTTTTCGTTATTTTGATGATATGTCATTTTGTGCTATCTTTAAACTAACATAAGCTCCAAACCAAACTAGTTCTTTACTTGAAATTTACATGAAATATAAAACAACAAATTGTCTATGAAATGCATGCTTGCAAAGTTTGGGTTCTTGTTTCGTTGCTACGCACTTGTCCTTTAAAGTAGGTCAATTTTCGTTGTTTTGATAATATGTCATTTTGTGCTATTTTTGACCTAGCATAAGCTCCAAACCAAACTAGATATTTACTTGAAATTTACATAGAATATAAAACAACAAATTGTCTATATAATGCATTCTTGTAAAGTTTGGGTTCTTGTTTCGTTGCTACGCACTTGTCCTTTAAAATGGGTCAGTTTTCATTATTTTGATAATATGTCATTTTGAGTTTTTTTTTACCTAGCATAAGTTCCAAACCAAACTAGTTATTTACTTGAAATTTACATAGAATATGAAACAACAAATTGTCTATGAAATGCATGCTTGCAAAGTTTGGGTTCTTGTTTTGTTGCTACGCACTTGTCCTTTAACCCTAAACAGTACACCTGGGGTCCGCGCGGACCCCAGCACTATATATTCTGTAATATCTTTTTTGTTTCTAAAGTTTTTTTTTTCTGAAATTATAGGTAATTGTCACCCACAAAGTTGTCTTTCAATACAGTGCAGAAAACTCCGTTTTTACCATTTATTAAAAAAATTATATCTGATTTTCTCCTGGGGTCCGCGCAGACCCCAGCCGGCTTCCGATCATAATGGATACACTGGCGTTCTTATACATTACCTTATTTCCGTTTTTATATGTTTTTATGCACTCATCGTATGTCTACCAAGTTTTCAGAGAATGGTGTAGTAATAGATTATTGGAAAGGGTACAGAATCAAGCTGCAAGATTCTGTATGAACAACTATGTAAGAGGTGCTAGTGTCACGGAAATGAAAAGAAACCTACAGTGGACTTCACTGGAAGACAGAAGAAAGATGTCTAGACTATGCATGATGTACAAAATGACTAATAAACTGGTGGATGTCCCAACTACTAAGTACCTAATACCAGCCCAGAAGAGAACAAGAAATAGCCACGCATTCAAGTACCAGAGTTATCAACCAAGGATTGAGGTGTTCAAGAATTCATTCTTTCCTAGAACTATCGCAGAGTGGAACTCACTGTCACCAAGTACAGTAGGGGCATTGTCAATAGATAGCTTTAAACAATGTCTAGAGCTAGAAGTTCAAGGGTTAGGTGTAACAAGCCGATCGGTGTAATATAGCCAGCTGCCGCCGCGCCGCGTGCCTGCGAAGCTGGTGTGTTACGCCGAAAGGCGGTTATACCGGCTATACAGATACAGATACAGATACAGATTAAATTTTAATAACTTTGTTGTAATTATGACGTCATATGACGTCAGAGCTAATAATATAGTCCGCCATATTGGATTTTGACCAATGACGTCATCAAATTAGCATATTCTATGCATATTAAATGATTTAACTTATATTTGATTATGTAAGATGTTATTAATGTTGGAAAAGAAGTGTAATTTCATATGAAACTCAGAAAATTTTAATGTTTAAACCAAAATTACTTCTATTTTCAAAAAAACTGCCTGCTAGAAACCCGTTGCCATGGCAACACAAAAAAACATCAACTTACTAGTATTAAACTAATATGAACTTTTTTTCCAGAGACATTTTAGGAAAGGTCTCCAAATTTGATACTTCTAGCGAAAGCCGTTTAGCCGCTATCTGAGATCAAAGTCTGGCCTCAAAAGCCCCTTCAGTCTGAAATGGGTTTAAAAATCGGGTATTTCTTCTTGTCTTATTTTCTTCACCAAAAAAATAGAAAAAGTTCAAAATGTATGATTTTTGTATGTAATGTGGACACAGAGGTTCCCACATCAGTTTGCAAAAGAAGGAAGCTGGTAGCATGTTGATAGTTTCTAAAAATTAGCAAATAACTGTTCTGGGGTCCGCGCGGAACCCAGGTGTACAGATTAATCAGTCCGGGAAGGTGTACTGTTGAGGGTTAAAGTGGGTCAGTTTTCATTATTTTCATATGTCATTTTGTGCTATTTTTGAACTGACATAAGTTCCAAACCAAACTAGTTCTGTACTTGAAATTTATTTACAACATAAAACAATATGTACTCTGTGGAATGCGCACTTGCAAAGTCTGGGTTCTTGTTTTGCTGCTACACACTTGTCCCTGAAAAAAGGGCAATTTGCATATTTTCATGTCATCTTGTCCTATCTTTTGACTCTCGTAAGTCTCAACAGTAAACTGTTTTGCTATTTAGATTTACACTGAATGTAAACCTATATATTGTCTATGAAATGCATGTTTGCATAGGTCAGATTCCTATATTAGCTATCTTTGGGAGTCTAATATGAAAAAGGAAAGGTTTTAATTCTTCTATCTCTAATTTTGCCAGATATATGCCATGGGTTGTTTATGAAATAGTTAGCACCAACGTTTGCATGATATACTTGTAGCAATGTGGCTGTTATTAAACGTATGCCATTTTATCTTAATTTGATGATAACAGTCTTATACAGTCATATTTAGCGTCCCCACATTATTGACTCTCGAAGACTTGACTTGTTTCTATATTTGAATAAATATAATAAATCCCTGCGCATCTTTCTAATATGTAGTCTATCACTCTATGTCTATGTCTTTGTATTAAACTATGTTTATGTGGAAAACATGCATTTCAGTCAATTCCGCTATTCCTGTACATGTAGACTGTACTATGTACACATCTTGACCCTGCTGTGTTGGAATCCATCTGTACATGTAGACTGTACTATGTACACATCTTGACCCTGCTGTGTTGGAATCCATCAACAGTAAAGTGCAGGAATAGCGGAATTGGCTGAAATGCATGTTTTCCACATAAACATAGTTTAATACAAAGACATAGACATAGAGTGATAGACTACATATTAAAAAGATGCGCAGGGATTTATTATATTTATTCAGATATAGAAACAAGTC